TCCAAACTACATCACACTTTCTTCTATGAATAATAAATGGGAGAAGGAGGTGCTCCAGGGGGGGGTCAGGCGAGGGCAGAGGAGGTGTGTGTGTGTGTGGTCGGTGAGTGTGGCCGAGTCGCTCCTCCGAGGCGAGCCGGTCGAGGAGCGAGTGGAAGGCGGCGGCGAAGCGCGGCCGGTCGTCTGTCTCGATGAAGGAGTCGTGCGAGAGGAGGTTGAGACCGAGCAGCACGTGCATGCTGCCCGACGAGTGGCCGAGCAGCTGCAGCAGCCGGCGCGAGACGGACCAGATCGTGCCGTCGGGCGTGATCTCGAGGGAGAGGAGGTAGTTAGCGCCTACACTCGCGCCAAAGCTCGCGTCATCTCGGGCGGTGCCGGGCGGGCCCAAGCCGAGGCGGCGCTTGCGCCATCGCTCGGCGAGACGGGAGACAGGGCGAAGTTAGCGGGAGACCCCCCCCCCTCGGCCGGCGCCAGCCTCGCCGGCTCGCTCGGCGGCCTCCTCTCTCCGGGCGCACGCCACGGCGTGAAGACGTCGCGGAAGACGTCGTGCCTGACGAATCAAAGTTCAAGAACGAATCATGAGAAGAAGCAGAAGAAGAAGACACGCCCCTGCAGACGTCGCGCCTCCTCGCCGCCTCAGGACCGCCCGTCGGCGAGCCGTTGCTCGCTCCGTCCGGCGCGACCGGAGAGCCGTCGCGGTCCCGGGCGACGGAGAGCACGCACGGCGCGGGGATCTGCTTGGCGAGGAGGGCGTCCCAGCTGAGCCCGTCGAAGAACGGGTGCGCCTTGACCGCCGCGGGACCGCCGGTCGCACCGCCGCCTCCTCCTCCGCCGCCCGGGTCGGCCGCTCCGGCGGGCTGCGGCGCCGTCGAGCCGAGGCGGGAGGAGGGCTGCTTGGCGAGGAGTCGCGAGACAAGGCTGTCGGCCTCGGGGCTGCGGGCGGGAGGGAGGGAGGGGCAGGGAGGGAGGGAGGGAGGGAGGGGGTGAGGGAGGGAGGGAGGGAGAGGGGGGAGGGAGAGGGAGAGAGGAGAGAGGAGAGAGGAGAGAGGAGAGAGGAGAGGGGGAGGGGGAGAGGGGGAGGGGGAGAGGGAGAGGGAGAGGGAGAGGGAGAGGGAGGGGGAGAGGGAGGCGCAGCGGGCGGGACCTGCAGCTGGGCGGGAGCCGGACCTCCTCGCGGGTGATGCGACGCATCATCACGTGCAGACTCTCGTCGCGGAAGGCGGACTCGCCTGCCCGCAGAGAGGGAGGGCTTGAGGCGCCGCATGTGTGCCTCGCGGGCTGCTGGTGGGCGGGAGGCGGAGGGCGGGAGGCGGAGGGCGGAGGAGGGCGGAGGAGAGGTCGCCGGTGAGCATCTCAAAGACGAGGCAGCCGAGGGTCCACCAGTCGACAGAGGAGTCGTACTGGCTGCCCTGCAGCACCTGCTCGCACAGTCGAGCGCGGGGGGCTCCGGCGTCAACTCACGGGCGGGGCGGGGCGAGGCGGCGTGGGGCGGGGCGGCGGGGCGGCGGGGCGGCGGGGCGTGGCGGCGTGGCGGCGCCTCCGGCGCGATGTACTCTGGCGTGCCGCAGATGGTGCCGCAGAGGGCGGGGCGGCCACCCTCGCCGCCCGTCTCCTTGGACATGCCAAAGTCTGTCAGCTTGAGGTGCCCGTCGATGCCAACCATCACGTTCTCCGGCTTGAGGTCGCGGTACACCACGCCCGAGCCGTGGACGTGCTCGAGCGCGAGCACTATCTCTCCGGCGTACACGCGCGCCCACTCCTCGGGGAAGGAGCCCTGCTGCTCGAGCAGCGTGAACATGTCGCCACCGCCCACGTAGTCCATCACCAGGTAGAGGTGGTCCACGTCCTGGAACGCGAACTGCAGCGACACCACAAACGGGTGCGGCCGCGACGCCATGTGCTCGAGCACGCGCTTCTCGGAGAGCGCCTGAGCGACGGACTGCTGGCCCTGCCGCAGCAGCTTCTCTTTAAGCACGCACTTCATCGCGTAGAGCTGCCGGTTCGCTCGCCGCGTCACCATCATCACTCGGCCAAACTGGCCCTCACCGAGCATGCCGTGGACTTCAAAGCTGTCAAGCGAGATGTCGTCCAGCGCACGTGGAGAGGAGGCCGTTGGACCCGTCGACGAGCCAGCAGGCGAGGTCGTCCTCACCGGAGGGAGCTCCGACATGCGAGCCCGCCAGGATGCAATCGGAAAGTTTTTTTTTCAGAACATCGCTGACGATGCTTTTCGAATGAATGGGCGGGGTGTGCTTTTGTGTGAACGCAGACTAAGGAATCACTTTCAAGCGTGACGCCTAGCTAGAGCTCACACTCGATAGAGGCCGTCATCGCATTCCCAGATTCCCACAAGAATCTCAAACAACAAAAAACTCGACAACACATCCTACGCCTTCGGCAACACCGAAGAGAAGGCCCGCCGCCTAAACATGGGCTGCAAGGCGCGCGGGCAGCCCGGCCAACCCTTCTCCCACAAGACCGGCCACGGCTACGTCAAGGCGCATCGCGGTTTCTTTCTACCACGACGCGATCTTTGTCAAGCGCAACAACTTCAACCTGCTGCTCCACGAGACGTTCGGCGGCGGCTTCTCGCCCACCGCCGTTGCTCAAGCTGCGCCGCCTCGCGCGCAAAGTCGCGCGCGGCAGCGTTGACCGCACAGCCTACTCGCCCAAGTACTCTCGCTCTCTTTTATGTCCCACCATGCAGAGCGCATCTCTCCTCTCTGTTGTGCCCCCCCCAATGAACACACCAGTGAGGGAGGGCGAGACGATCGAGGGGTCCCGTACCATGCGGAATCGACCCTATCCAGTGCTCAAGTGCTCTGTTGTGCGAGGCGTGAACCGCGCCATTCGCTCTCACCTGGCAACCCTGTCGGAACGTCTCGCGCGCGCGTGAACAGGGCAACCACCATAAAGATCTATCTGCAGGGGCAGCTTTTCTCTTGCAGATTACTACATACCACACAATCCAAAAACAAAATGCGAGGCGTGAACCGCGCCATTCGCTCTCACCTGGCAACCCTGTCTGCACGTCTCGCGCGCGCGTGAACAGGGCCCGTTGAGGTGTCCATCTTATGTGCAGGGGGGCTACAACTGTAGCGCGTCGGCAGGATCCCCCAAAACCGTCGTAAACCCCCCCAAATTGAATTCGACCGCCCCGTCGCGAGCACGCCGCCCTCGCCCCCGCCACCTTCCCCCCCGCCGCCATCCCCACCGCCGCCGTCGCCGCCGCCCCCGTCACCGCCACCGCCCTCGCCGCCCCCTCCATCGCCCCCGCCGCCGTCGCCCCCTCCGCCTTCCCCGCCTCTCGACCCCGCCTCCTCCATCGTTAGTTAGGAAGGTGAAGAACAGCCAGGCTCGGACTGGACACCAACGCGGTATGGGTGGACGCTAGTGGCTAGACAGATGATGCCGGAGCCCAGAAAGAAAGAACACAGACAACCCAAGGGAGGGATGGGAGGACGGCACGCCGCCACCACACAGGACAAACAAACAAAACAAATCTCTCTCTCTCTCACAGGATGCCGGAGCCCATAAACAAATAGAGCAGTCAACCCCTTGGTGGGATTAGGGCAGCAACTCGACGGGCAGACCCCGCCCCGTTCGGAGGGCGTGCACCACACAGCACACAGACTTATCTAGGCACTGCACGGCTCCTCGGGATTTCTGGAGCGTCCTGAAATTTCTTTTGCGCCTTGCCGGGAAATGGCGTAGCTGTGAGCGCTGTCAGAGCGGTGTTTCGACACCGATATCGTTCGAGGTTTTGCGCGATCGGGCCCCACCACTGTCCACGGCCACTCATATCTCTGGGCAGAGCGCGATCGCGAACACCCACCTCCCATGCTGACGACGCTGCAGGCCCTCTCTTTGGCACCGGGCACTCCTCGCGAGAGGCATGCACAACCAGCGCGAGGCATGCTGCCACCGGTGGCATCGGTGCAGCAGGCTGCTGTCGCTGGTGCCAGCGCACGCGTGAGTCAGCCGGACCGCTATGCGAGACGCTGGGAGCTGCTGCTCCGGCTCGAGTACAGGGAAGCCGCAAACGAGCTGCGGCTGCGGCGTGCAAAGTGGCCTCGGTCCCGGCTCGAGGCGAGCGGATCGGCCGTCTTTGACGCGACGGCGAGCCCAGACACGGACCTGTTCGGCGAGAAGGTTGTTCGCGTGGGCAAGCCTGGCGAGACGAGGCTTTCGGACCTCTTCTCGCGCGGCGACATCCTCGTCCTGCGCCCGGCCGACCGCTCGGCACCGTGGGGCGGCGCCGGGGAGGGCTTCCCTCCCAGAGAGTGCTGCGTCGTCGACAGCGGCAAAGACTGGATCACGCTTGGCGTGGGCCAGAGCTGGCCCAACGGGCTCTGGGAGGCGCGCCGGCGGCCGGACTCGTTTCGCGTTGCGCTTGAGCGAGCAGCACCGCAGGCGCCGCTCAAGGCGCAGCAGGCGGCGCTGCACCGGGCTGCCAAGGGAGAGGCGGGGCTCGCCGCAGCGCTGCTCGCGGCGGAGGAGGCGGCGGTGCCGGAGGCGGCGGCGGAGCCTCCGCCGCGCCTGTGCGACTCCTCTGCAGCGGGCTCCTCCGTGACTCCGCCGCGCCCCGTGGACTCATCTGCTGCGGACCCATCGAGGGTCGACGCCGCCGTCCGCGCCGCCCTGCAGCAGGCGGTCGACGTCGCCGGCGCTGCTTTCGCGCCAAACGAGTCGCAGCAGGAGGCGGTCGCTTGGGCGCTCGGCCGCCGGCTCTCGCTCATCCGCGGACCGCCCGGCACCGGCAAGACGAGGACCGCGGCGCTCCTCGTCCTGGCCGCGCTCAGGATCCCCTCGCCGCATGCCGCTGCCGGAGGCGGGGAGGCTGGCGGGGAGGCCTCGTCGCCGTCCCCGCCGCCCCGCGCGAGAGTGCTCGCCGTCACGCACAGCAACTCGGCCGCAGACGTGCTCCTCGCGGCTCTGCTCAGGCTGGGCGTGCCCGCCGTGCGCGCGGGTCGCCCGGCCGCGGTCAGCCCGGCTGTGCGGCGACGGACGGCGGTCGCGCTGGCGCAGCAGCACCCGGAGGTGGTGGCACTGAGGGCGCGCGCACGCAACGCGTCGCTTCCCGCGCACGAGCGGTCTGCCGCCGCCTCCGAGCTGCGTGGCGTCGGCGAAGCGGTGAGCCAGCTGATCCTCCGCACCGCCCCGGTCGTCGTCTCGAGTTGCATCAGCGCGCACCAGCTGGCCGAGGAGGGGGCGCCTTTCCCCCTCGTCGTCCTCGACGAGGGGTCGCAGGCCCGTCGGGAGGGACGGTCGCCGCTCGACTGCCCGAGGCCACCCGAGGTCACACCGAGACCACACACTAGGCGACGGAGCCGGCCCTCGTGTGCGCTCTTGCGGCGGCGGCGGCGGAGCAGCTCGTCATCGTCGGCGACACGCGCCAGCTCCCACCGACCGTCGCTTCGGGCTCGCGGCGGCTGCGCCAGGCGCTCGGCGAGTCGCCGATGGCGCGGCTGGAGGCGCTCGGGGTGGCGCAGAGGACGCTCACGGTTCAGTACCGCATGCCGCCCGTCCTGCTCGAGCACCCGTCGAAGTATTTTTACGACTCGCTCGTGTCCTGCGCCGAGAGCCGTCGGCGGGGAGGGCGGCCGCCGAGGGGCTTCGCGTGGCCGGATGGCCAGCCTCTCTGCTTCGTCCACTGCGGCGGCGACCTCGAGGAGAGTCACGCTGGCGGCGGCAAGAGCAACCCGGTCGAGGCGGCGCTGGCCGCCCGGCTGGTCGCGTCCGTCCTCGAGGCCGGCGACGTGTCGCCCTCGAACGTTGCCGTCCTCACTCCCTACTCGAGCCAGGTGGACCTCGTCCGGAGGGAGGGGACCGCCTGCCGCGTCAGCACAGTGGACTCGTTCCAGGGCCAGGAGACGGACCTCGTCGTGTTCTCCGCCACCCGCTCCAACGGCGTCGGTGATCTGGGCTTCTGTCGCGACCCGCGGCGGCTGTGCGTCGCCATCACGCGGGCGAGGCGTGGGCTGGTACTGATTGGCGATGCCCGGACGCTCCGCAGCTCACACCATTGGGCGGCCCTGATCGAGTCGTGCAGAGCGAGAGGGCTCTTTGTTGACAGCCTCTCACTCGCTTGAGAGGGGTTCTGAGCGCACTTGAGACTTGTAGAGGAGGGTGCACTTGGAGCACTTGCGACTTTGAGTGGTCACGTGAGTGAGGATTCTTGGTACAAAACCACGACGCACACCAGAAAGAAAGAAAACGGGCAACCCAAGGGAGGGATGGGAGGACGGCACGCCGCCACCACACAGGGATCTAACGGAACTCGATTTCTTTTTGCTCGCACTCGTTGTTGCCCCTCGTTGCTCCGGGTGCTCCACATACATGAGCGCGAGCTGCTTCTTCGACGGCAACCGCGTGGAGTACACACGGCTGGAAAAGCCCAACGTCAAGCGTAAGGCAACGATCACTTGCGTTCCCGCCGGCGCTGCGCCGCCGTCGCACGTGCGGCGGCGGCGAAAGCAGGACCGAAACGTACTCCACCTCTCGATTGAGCGCGATGGCGGCAAGAAGCGGGAGCGGTGGACGCGCGTGTCTCAGCTGCTGAAGCGCAAGGTCAAGGTGCTCGAGGGGTCGGGCCTCAAGCCCGGCGTGGGCAACTACAGCGAGGACGAGGAGGCGGCGATCAAGCGGCGGAGGACGGGAGGCGAGGCGTGGGGCAGCATCGCACGCTCGCTGGGGCGCAGCGTGAACGCGGTCACAAACCGAGGCCGGCAGCTGATGAATCCAAAGCTCGCGCCGAGAGGCCAAGGGCATGCTGGCGTGCCGGAGCATCAACTGGGTAGACGAAGTCGCCAGCGCGATGCAGCGGCTGCCCAACCAGCAGGGCACCGCTTACGATGTGATTGCCGTGCTGAAGGAGATGGGCCACGTGTTGGACGAGAGCCCTGTTCCGGGCACATGGAAAACCAGGGGCTTCTCGCTTGTCAGCAACACCCTGTCCAATGCAAGGAACCCGCAGTTTGCAGCACTCCAGCGCCCCGCTCGCTTGGGCCAGTCCGGCACGGTGGTCCAGGTCACGCATGGCGGACAAGGTCACAAGGCGTCGGTGCGGTTCCAGAACGGTGCCGTCGAGTTGTTCAGAGTCAGCAGCCTCGCACTGGCCGCCTCGCCTTCGGCGCGCCAGATCGCAGCCGGCGCCTCCGTCACGGTCACGAAGGAGGAAGGAGGAGTTGTGAAGGTGGAGGCGGGCCCGCGTAACAAGCCCTGCACCGTCTACAAGTACAGGCCGGAGCTGACCCCGGTCAAGGCCGTCAAGTCGCCGGGGACGCGCAAGTGGCTCAACGCCAAGGAGAGGAAGAAGGGCTTAGACGGCGTAGCGCAGAAAAACGGATAGGCCGCTCAGAGTGGTGAGACAGTACGAGACAGATCTGTCGTGCATGCAAAATAAATAAATAAATAAGCAGGGAGCCGACTGTGAGATGGGTAAAAAGGAACATTCGTTACGTGTTCTCGCGACACGAAAGGTGCAATTTCTTTTTTGCGCTCGCGCGCCGGGTACCGCCTCCGCCCTCTTGCCGCTTCGCCTCTAAACCCACATGCGACCGCGGCGGACGTCGACCCGCCTCGTCCTCACCGCCGCTGCGCTCGGCGTCCGCGCTGCAAGCACCGCTCTTCCTGCGGACGCGCTCCGCCTGGCGTCGTCGCTCTACATGCTCAGCTCGCCGCCGCAGCTTGTGGCGCTCGTGACTGGCGGCGGCGCGCAGCTCGCACCGTGGCTCCTCGCGACGCCCGGCGCGTCCAACTCCATCCTCGAGTTCTCCGTGCCGTACGCAAAGGCGTCGCTCGCCGCCGTCCTGGGCCACGACCCGCCGCAGTCGGTCAACGCCGCAGTGGCCGAGAGCATGGCCGAGCGGGCGTATGAGCGGTCGGTGGCGCTCGGCGGCGGCGAGCGCTCGGTCGGGCTTGGTTGCACCGCCGCGCTCCGCTCCGAGCCGATGCGGCGTGGGGAGCACCGCTGCTACATCGCCGTGCGCTCGGCTGCAGGTGTGTCATGCTGGCCCGGCGCACACACCACCTTCTCCGGGAGCGCGCGCCTGCCCTCTCGCCCGCCATTGGCTGTCCGGCAGCCGCCGCCGCCTCACGCCTTCCCGCGAGCCGCCGCAGGCGTGCACTGCCTCGCTCTTACCCTTGCTAAGGGCGCGCGGAGTCGCGAGGCGCGCGCCCGGGAGAGCCGCACGGAGAGCGGCGGGAGAGCCGCACAGAGAGCGGCGCGGGACACTCGACGACAGCGCCCACCTCCGCGCGCCAGGCGGAAGACGCGGTGGTCGCGCGGGCGGCCCTCGCCACCCTCGCGCGCGCGTGCGGCGTCGACCCTCCGCCGCTTCCGGGCGGCGGTCCGTTTTGGAAGCTGGCAGCGGCCGTCCTAGAAGTGACACCAGCGACACCGCCATGGCAAGACCACGCCCGGGTTAGCACAGCCCGCGAGGCGCCGCCCCTCCCCGCCGCCTTGCCCTCTGCCGGTGCCGTCAGAGGCGCGGGGAGGGCGGGGTGCCACAGCGTGGCTCACTCGTTACTGCGCCCCGACCGCCCTGGCCCCTGCGCGGCATCAGGCGAGCGACGATCCTCTGGCGCCGGAGGTGGCGGCGCGCCTCGACGCGGAGCACGCGGACGAGACGTTTGTGGCCACTTAACGATAAGTGCGAACCTTTGTTTACGACCAAAACGAGCAGCTTCCAGCTAGATTTACATTTTCGTGCGTACTGCGCGTTGGCGCATGACCATGAGGGGCTCGCAAAAAATAGGAGACCCCCGCTCCTGCCGGACGACTGCGCCGGTGTCGTACCATGTCATAACATTGATGGTGAGTGAGCAGAGAGTGAGCTCCTAGCAATGAGCGACGCCCATGCGGGTTGGTCATGCTGCGCGGCAGCGGGGGGACAACTTAAACCCCCAGGGCGCGAGGAGTGCCGAGACTATTGCTGCCGGGGTGTGGCGCCGGTCCCCACGCGCTCCTGCCGCTTCAGCTGACGCGGTGGCGCTCGCCCGCGGTGCCGTCACGGTGCGCGAGGTCGACGAGCCGCTGGTGCAGCTTGGCGGACGCCTCCTTGCGCAACGGCGGCTGGCCGGCGCACCTGAAACAGAAAGCGCGACGCGTTCCAACGGGCGGGTGTGAGCAAGACGTGGCGCCGGCTGAGAAGGCAAAGTGAGGCACGCGGGAGCTGCGGCGGTGGCGGTGGGGGAGCCGGAGCGCGGCAGGCGAGGTAGCCGCGTCTCGGACGTGTCTCGGAGGCGTCTCGGACGTGTCTCGGACGTGTCTCGGAGGCGTGTCGGAGGTGTCTCGGAGGCGTGTCGGAGGCGTGTCGCACCGGACGAGCTTGAACTTGAAGACGCCGTGCTGGCGCGCGCCGACCTCGTACTTGTAGTCGGTCACCTGCTCACAGCTTCAGGTGTGAAGAGACGCCGTCCACAGCGCCGGCCTGTGCGTGCACTCCGTCACCGCGTAGAGGCCGTCGTAGATGAAGAGGCGCTGGGAGTACGACCGCTCGGGCGGCACCTGGTGGGTGGGGGTCAGGGGAACTTCTCCACGCACACAAGGCTGGGGCGAGGGCCAAGCAACCCTCCCGACTCCACGTCCGAAGGCAAGACCGGAGCTGGCACGGCGTTGAAAGTGCAAGGCCCGGTGCGCGTGGGCGAGCGGTGTGTGTGGGTGGGTTGGTGGCAGCGAACCTCTCCCACGTACCGCAGCAGCCGGACCGGCGTGCCCCTCTCGAGGTTGTTCTTGAGCGCGAGGTTGCCTATGGGCACACTCGCTCCGTGGGTCAAGGAGGAGGAGCTGGCTGATGGCCCCCTTCGCTCGAGCGCGACGTCTGCCCTTCTCGAGCTTCTGCGCGCCCGTCTGCCGCCGGCTGCTCAGCAGGTCGTTCCCGCCCGAGCCGGTATACCACAGCTCGTCGCCGTCGTCCTCGTCGTCCTCGTACCCGCCCGACGAGACGACCGCCGTCGCGACCGCCTCCTCGCCGTCCTTGGCCGGCCGGTAGTCGATGCCCGACAGCCACTTGCGGTGCATCCCGCACACCTGAGGGGTGTGTCAGGCGGGGCGTGTCAGCGGGAGGTGTCAGCGGGGTGTGTCAGTGTCAGTAGACGTGTAGCGACGGCGGCGCGAGCAGAGTGGAGGCGGATCGAAGGGGAGGTGGTGGGATATCTCGGAAGCGTCTCGGAAGTGTCTCGGCACCTGCATCTCGGCGCGGTTGTGGAACTCGGTCCCGGGAGGCATGCCTGCGTTGCGAAGCAACAGAAGTCGTCAAACGGCGTTGAATGCGGCTGCAATACAGTCGAATGCAGCCGGCGTGTCATTTGGAGTGCTCGCTGGGACCGCCGGCAGGTGTGCTCTAGGCTGGCATGCCGGGCAGGCTGCCGACGTGCCGCCCCTCGCAGCACTTGAGCCCCAAGGCGCCGACTTCGCTCATCGCCTTGAGGTCGGCGCGGCCTCCGCCCGTCGCCTGCTTGATGCGCACAAAGCACTCCTTGTAGAGGGCCCTCGCCTAATTAAAGTGAGGTGCGGCTGAAGACATCTCCGCACGAAGGGGTGGCAAGGGCAAGACGGCGACCTCGCGACTCCACGTCCAAAAAGACACGAGCTGGCGCCGGCAGTGCAAGGCCCAGTCCAAGTGGGTCCATTTTGTGTGTGTGTGTGTGGGGGGGGGGGGGGGGGCGTGCGTGCGTGCGTGCGTGCGTGTGAGCGCGCGCGCGCGGCGCGCCTCTTGCAGCCGGGCCACCTCCTCCTCCTCCGAGGGGGGCGGCGGCGGGAGCACGGCCGGCGCGCCCGGGTCCACCAGCCGCCTGGCGCGAGGAGCGCGCCGCGCCGCCGGCACGTCGAGCGCCGTGCCGGGCGGCAGCAGACTGGCCGCGCCGAGGCTCTCCTACACAGGAAGGTTCCGGGAAGGCTCAGAGAGCGTTTCCGAAGTAGAGGAGCAGGCTGCGCCCGAGGCTCTCCTCGGCATAGCTCTTGCGCGGCCCGCCCTCGAGCCGCGAAGAGCGGCGGCTCGCCTCGGGCAGCGGCTCGCGCGGCTTGCGCGGCTTTGGGGGCGCCCGTGCCGGCTTGAGGCGCGTCGAGGCCAGGTCGAGACCGAGCGCCGCGAGCTGCTCGTGGTTCTTGGCGATGTTGGCGAGGCGCTCTTTCTCGTACTCGGACAGCGCTGGCGCGCCGGCCGGGGCGGGCGGCGCGGGAGCGGTGGGCGCGCCCTGCGCAGGGGCTGCCGGCTCGGCTTGGCGCGCCCGCTTTTGCCCGGTCGTGGGTGATGCAGCGCGCTTCGAGCGTGTTGAGCGAGGGGAGAGCTGCATGTCGATGATCTCGATGTAAAGCCACAGACCACAGCACTCCCGCCCGTTTCTTTCCCGCTTGCGGAAATAAATAAATAAAATGGGTCGATTCCGCATCCTCCCTCTCTTGCGTTCTTCCACGTAATTAATTGAATTCCTAATTAATCGCTCAGAGTCACTTTTGGACTTTGGCTGTTAGGGTTAGTGCTGTTGGCACTTGCAACTTGGCTCTTGGGGCGGCGGGACAAAGAACCCTGCACAAAGATCGCACGGGCGGGGGCCTGTTCCTTTTTACCCTATACCCATCTCACAGTAGAGGTGTCCGTTTTTATTTGTTTACCCGGGGCGGGACGTATCTCGTATGATCTCCCCGTCCCCCCTGGCCGGCTGGTGCGCACAGAGAGTCTCTCGCGCCTCCTCGAGGGAGGGAGGCTCGGCGCCAGAGCCGGCCTCGAGTTCCGTCTCGGACGCGGTGCGCGCCGAGTCGTCCTCCTCCTCATCGTCCGCCTCAAAGTACGCCGCGTCGAGGGCGGAGCGGAGGCGAGGCACGAGGGGCGGCGGCAGCCTGCCGGCCGCGAGGCTCGCGGCATCCATGGCGTCGGCCTTTGGGAAGGCGCCCGCGCCGAAAAAGGGGTGCTGGAGCAGCGCGGACGGCGAGGGGCGCGCCGTTGGGTCGCGGCTCAGCAGCGCCATCACGAGGTCCTTTGCAGCCGCGCAAAAGAGGAAGGGCGAGGCCGGGAAGTGAGGCGCACCTGCAAGCCGCGCGAGGGCGGCGTCTCGGGCGCGCGGGAGCGGCGGCGGAGTCTGCGGCGACGGGGGAGGGAGGCGGACCGCGCAGCGCTGCGGCGTAGGTGGCCGTGGGGTCGCCGCCGCTGCCGAAAGGGAGAGCGTCGAGGAGGAGCTCGTAGCTGCGCGTGACCGGGGGTTGGGGGTCGGCAGACAGAGCGGGGCAGGGTGGTCCTGCTCGAGCACTCACAGGGTTGCGCCGAGTGCCCACAAGTCGACGCGCGGCCCGTGGCCCTCCCGCAGGAACATTTCGGGCGCCAGGTAGTCGGGCGTGCCGAGCAGAGAGAAGGACCGCCCCTCGCCCTCGCCCTCGCCCTGGCCCTGGCCCTGGCCCTGGCCCTGGCCCTCGCCCTCGCCCTGGCCCTGGCCCTGGCCCTGGCCCTCGCCCTCGCCCTCGCCCTCGCCCTCGCCCTCGCCCTCGCCCGCTCCGCGGCCAAAGGAGCGCGCGAAGCCGAAGTCGACCAGCGTGCAGTGGCCGGCGGAGGAGAGGCAGAGGTTGTCCGGCTTGAGGTCGCGGTGGCCGACGCGGCGCTCGTGCAAGTGCGCGAGGCCGAGGGCGGCCTGGCCGACGTAGAAGCGAGCCGCGCGCTGGCCGAGCGGGCCGGTGCGCCGGAGGAGGGCCCCGAGCGAGCCGCCGGGCAAGTAGTCGAGCAGCAGGGCGCAGAGCCGCTCGCCGCAGAGCCAGCCGCGCGACCGAACGACGAAGGGCGCGCCGCGCAGGGCGGAGGAGGCGAGGAGCTTCGCTTCGCGCGCCGCCCGCTCCGCAGAGCTCGCGCACCGGCGGCCGCCGAAGCGCGTCCCGTCGGCGGCGCGCCGCGTCAGCTTGAGGACCACAGCCTCGCCGGCGCGCGAGCAGAGCAGCACGCTCGAGCGACTGTCCGCCAGCAGCGGCCGCTCGAGCCGAAGCTCCGACAGGACCAGCGACGGAGGCTCGTCGGCGATGCCTCCGCCGCCTTCAGGTTTGGCCTCGCCTCCTCCCGTGCCGCCTCCGTTGCCCTCACCGCCGCCCTCCTCGCCGCCCTCCCCACCGGCCGCGGCGCGCCTCCCCTCCCAGCCGGGGACGATGGAGCGGAAGGTGAGGGAGATACGGTGTCCGTCCGACGGCCGGAGCGGCAGCTGGTGCTCGAGCAGCTCCTGCACGGAGGGCCCGAGTAGGCTCACGGAAGGGTCTGGCGGGAGCGGACGAGGGCTCGGGCCGCGCCTGCGTGCCGCCGCTCATCAGCACCACGTCGCCCGGCCGCACCTCCACCTCGCACAGCACCTCGCGCTCGCCCTCCGCCGCCGCCAAGGCAGCGCCGGGCCGGCGGCGGATGCGGAAGAGGCGAGGCGCGCCGAGCGAGAGCGAGGCAACGGCACGAAGCTGGCCGTGCGCACGCACCTCGTCGTGGTGCCACGGGATATGGCCCTCGCCGTCCGGGTAATTGTTGGCGAGGCAGGCGGTGAGTGCTCCTGGCGCCAGACCGCACGCCTCCTCGACCAAGGCTCTCAGCCGCAGCAGCGCTGGAGTCCACGGACGCGGACTCAGAGCGAGGCCGCAAAACGCGAAGACGCAGTCGGCATCGCCAAAGTAGGCCGTCTTCCGATCGTGCAGCCCAAACTCGTCCGTCTCCGTCGTCCACGGCAGCTCAGACGCCAGCGTGGAGAAGGCGGCCGCTGCGGCATCGCCGCGCACCGCACCGCGCAGGAGCGTGCAGCGCGATCCTAACGGTAGAGTCGCAAGGTCTTCCGTCGCGAGGCCCTCCATCGAAGGCGAACCGACGCCAGAGACTCTCCAGTCTCAGCCCGTCCTGTGAAAAGGTGAGGCGTGGTCTGTCTCGCCAGCCAGCCCGCGCCCCGCCGAGGAAAAAAAGAATTTTCCACCCGGCGGTCGCACGACACGATTCACGCGACAGGCGAGGCGCTGGCGACAGCTTCCTCAGAAGCCGTCGCCCGCACGCAAAAAAGAATTAAAACTGCCAAGTGCGCCGAAAAAAGGATTAAACGCCCCGACACTAGGCTCCCTCCCTAAATAAATAAATAAATAAAACGGGCACGCCAAACGAGGGGTGGGAGAAGGACAGTCTTTTCCTTTGTGTTGTGTGTTTTATTTCTTTCTTTACTAGGCACGGGACTGGCGCGCACTGGACAACTCGCAAGAAAGCAAGAACCTCAGTTGTGAATGGTTCGCGGAGTGAATTCTTCTTCAAACCATATCACAACTACGTACGTTCACCAACCAAGAGCAATCGGCATCAAAGCAGCTAAACATACCGCGCGCAGTGTCCACGTCCGCCGTGCAGGCTGACGACTGGCTGGCTGGTGGACCAGCGGGCAACGGCACCTCCTCCGCCGTCCTCCGAGTGCTCTGCTTTGGCCGAACCAGGAGACAGCCATTGCACTTTGGCCGGGTCAAGGGCGGGTTCTTTGCCCAGCTCAACTCCATTGCTGACGCCGTCCTTGGGGAGGTGCTCCTTGGCTACAGCCCGGGCGCAACCTTCCATGAATCGACACTCCTTGTCGGTTACGGTAACAGGAGCCTTGCTGATATCTTCGTACCGCTCTCGAAACGGTGCGGGCGGCTCGCCCACGCTGGAAATCAGCGCCTCCGTGAGCTGCGGCATTCGCCTCTCTTTTCCGTCGCCACCGCGCTGCTGCGCTGGCTATACCAGTGGAGCGGCGTCTCTTTGGCACCCCACCTGAGCTATGCGGCGGCAGTGCACGTGCGCCGCGGCGACAAGATTGCCGAGCGTTCACCAGCAGACAAGATTCGGCGCTGGAGCGAGACGGATCTGACAGACAAGATTGTGTCGCTCGTTTTGCCGGGCGTCGGGACGTCGGTAGTACCGTCGCCGCCCCGAGTGGTGCTCGCGAGCGACGACAACGCCTTTGCGCGCGCGGTCAGCCGTCGTCTCGAGAGAAGGGGGGTGCGGGTGCGGCTACTGATCAACGGGGCAGACGGCGGCTCGCGCTCGGGACTCGAAATGTGTCAGCATCGACCTGAGTGCGTTCAGGAGCTGCTAGAGCTTGTAGAGCAGTTCAGCAGGGCGCGCCTGCTCCTGCTCTCCTCGCGCAGCAACGTCGGTACCTTCCTCGCTGGGTGGTGGGGCGCCATGCACTGCGTGCCGCCATCCTTCGCCGACCTTGACGGCGCGATCGCACCAGGTGCGTTTGTCAGCGGACACTTCTTCTGCGAGATGGCGTGGGGCAGCCGAAAGGGCCTCTGCAGCATCGAGCAGGCTCTCTTGCGGCGGTTCGGCCCTCTGGCGCGGATGCTGCTGCGGCGGGGCGCAGGGCTAGGGGCCAGGGGCAGGGCGCCTCCGTCGCTCTGGTGACTGGTGCGGGTCGTAGAAGAATGAATAAAAAAGGTGTCTGTCACGCGAGATGGGTAGGGCTACAGCTTCGTCCTCTAAAGCCCGTTCTTGCAGTGAAGGATCTCTTCACAGTACTCTCATCGAAACGTTAAAGCGTGTGTAAGAATTGAAATAAAAAGTCAAATGCAGCAGGAGATCCTCGCAGACATGGGTGCGAAACAACGACAAGACCAAGGCACGGGCAGAGGAGCGAGAGAAGAATTATCCCGTGCCCAGTGTTGTGCGAGAGAAGAATATAGGATGGATAAAGCGCCTGTTCACGGCATGGAGGGTGAGCCACGCTGAACGTGCCGAACGTAGAGCCGAACGGGAGGAAGCCGGGGAAGACGACTCCGAGGAGGACGAACCAGTGGAAATCCCGTTGTCAGCTGTCATGATGCACCCGAAGGGGACCCCAGCGCCAGCATCATCCGTGAAGGCACAAGTGTTCGAAGAGAGAGTGGACCTGAGCAATGATATGACTTGGCGGCAAATGATCGCAGTGGGCGTCAGAAGAGTCGTCCTCGCGCGAGGAGAGCTCGATAAACTCGATCGAGGGGCCAAGATATGCTGCGAGGAGGGCGGAGTTTGCCGAAAGGCGAAAGAAGCCGCGAGAACAAGGGAACGGCACAGGCGGCGGCGGCGTCGCAGAACGAGGCAGAGGAGAGCGACGCGACAGAGGAAGAAGCGAGAAGAGAGAGAACGACGAGAGTGGGACGGCCGCGAGGTGGCATGAAGGCTGCAGCGAGAATCGGCGAGAGACTGCGAAGAGAGATAGGAAGAGGCGGACATGGCCAAGGGTGGGCGACGGCAGCGCACCACACCCCTAAACGGCGTTCCTGTCAGTACTGACAGGACGGCCATCGTATTTTATTCCTTTGCAGGACGGCGTATGGTTCTTGCACTTGTGCAAGATTGGGCGTCTTCTGCCGCAGTCCCTTTGATGGGAGGCCCCAGGGTGGGGGCCACCTCGAACCCCCGGCCAGGGATTCGAGCGGAGGGTGCCCCGGATTCACCTATCCGTTGGGCCCCGGTACATTCATTAGAACTGATCACTTTGCCAGCAGCCGTCCCTTCGCCGACTGGACGGCAGTGCGCTGCGTTGTCGCTCTGTCGTGCACGCTCTCGTGCCTCGTTGTTGTGAAGTGTCTTCGGCTCACGCCAGGGCGCTCGTTGCTCCTCCGTCTCTTTGTATCTTCCATACTGCATTTATCAGAAGACTGGTCGGAGCGACGGCCGATCCAGCAGTCGTCTGCGACATGGCAGTGGCCCCGGGTCATGTGCAGCTGGTCCCGAGCGGCTCAGGTCCCAGATCGAATCTCGGACCCACAGATTCTAGATTCCTTTAGATTCCCTGGATTCCCGCAACAACGATCTCTTAGCGGCGGCAAACAGAGGCGCAACTCTGCCAGCAGCGAGGAGGCTCCTGCTGCTCAGCTACCGAGGCCTGGTGGCGTCGGCTGCTGCGTGGAGAAGACAGCAGCACTGTCCGACCTCAAAACATGCACAACAAGCGGGATTTGTGACTCTGTCCTCGATTCTTCAGTCGCTCTGCCGGACGCGCTCGCTTTGTCGCGAGGGTCACCGGTGCAAGCCGTGTGGACGCCCAGAATAGCCTCCCCTGGCTTAGCTAGAGTGAGAGATATTGTGCACGTGGTCAGCCTCTACAATATATACACTGCACTTTACCTCCCAGAGCTCGTCTAGGTCCGCCACGGCCATCCTCAGCCTCCAGAGGGCCCCCGGCCGCGGCGCGGTGCGGCGGCGTCACAAATCCGACGTCAGTTCACCGGGACGCGATCGGGCGATCTGAAGCCCAACTAGGCGTATGGATTGCCCGCCCAGGGCTATCACCTGGACCCCTCAATGGACGCCTGCGGTGCCGCCCCCACGAGGTGTTGTTCACACCTGTCCAACCATTCGTGCAGCAGGAACGCGCTGTGTGTGGCTGGCAGCAAACTCAAATGACGACGGGTTGCAGCCTCGTAGCTCAACGGCAACATTGTGCATGAGGAAGGCTGATGGAAGTAGCACCAGCCACACAACCAACAGCTTCTGGAGAGTATGCGGAGCGCAAGCAGCCGGTGATCAAAGGCGTGTTGCTGTCGGTGGCAGATTGCCAGAGGGACGCCGGCGCTTCGGTGCGTGGCTTCGTCACAATTTTCCACCGCTCAACTTGGAGGCAGTGTGTCTAGTAGCGTGCTACACCTATGACAGCGGACCTCAGGGGCGCCGACGTGCGACGACCGTCTGGGATCGAAAGACGAAACCGCGTCCCAGGAGCTCGTGCAGACGCGCTCCGGAGCTCTGTGGCGGAAAATTTGAAGGGAACGTGGTGGCTTCCCACCGCCTCTGTATGTGCCCAATAAAGTACTAACACGACCCTCGGGCAGCAGGGGGTATGTGGCGAGCGCACGGAGGCACAGTTAGGCCGCCGTGATATCGCCCTTCCGGGCACCCCGTTTCGGTAGCCGTTTAGGGGTTAAAATCCCTGTGTGGTGGCGGCGTGCCGTCCTCCCATCCCTAGCCCCCGGGTATTATGATGTGAAGTGTAGGGTTTTCGTACATCATAGTAGGTCAATTATAGGAAAACTCTTCCATGTGGTATGCCGCGCGTCTGGGCGTCTCGCGTGGAACATCTCGTGAGAGCGCAATGCGCCGCGTCACCTCGGACTCCTCGCGGGCTTTGGCCCGAGCAAGCCGCCGGCGCCGCACGAGCCAGCCTTCTCCGCCCCGCTGGTCGGGAGTGGCAGCGCTTGCGCCAAGGCGAGGAAGGCTGTGAGGCCGCACACATAGGTCGCGGCTCCGGTGCTGAAGACGCGCACCCAGCCGGCGGCGGCCGTCGGCGCGGCGGCGAGGACGCGGCCGGTGACGACGTTGGCCGCGATGCCGGGCACGGTTCCGATCGTGTTGACGACGCCCCACATCTGAGCGGCGGTCGCCGCGTCGCCGCCCGCCAGGTCGAGGATGTTTGCCGCGTAGCCTGCGTGCGACCAGGAGGAGGCGGCGATGGCGGCGGCGAGCAGCGCCGCCGCGCCGCCGGCCGACGTGCTCCCGCAGAGGAGGAGGAAGCAGCCGCACGGCACCAGCATTGCCACCGCCTGCATGCACTTGCGCGCGTGCAGCAGCTTGAGCCGGCAGCGCGAGAGCAGCACCTCGTCCGCCACCCACCCGCCGACGTTGTCCGCCACGATGGCGACGGCGTACGGCGTGCTGAAGAGGGTCGAGCCGTCTGCGAGTGTCGCGCCTGCGGGGTTTAAACGCGGGGAGCCTGCGGCGGGCGGCGGGAGGGGAGCAGCCTGCGAGGCCGTGGCCGCGGCGCCGAGCGAGGTGAGGTACTTTGGCAGCCAGGAGAGGAGGAGGTACGCGCCCCAGTTGTTTGCGAAATGCGCCGCGCACACGGCGAGGAAGGCGGGGTGCGCGAGGAAGGAGGGGCGGGCGCAGCGCGGCGCAGAGGCGCTGCAGCGCGGGCTCCCCGACCCGTCAACAGCAGAGATGAGGCCCAGCTCCTCCCCCGCCGCGCCTTTTCCGGCGGAGGCGCCTGGCGAGGAGGCCGGGGCGAGGGCGGCGAAGACGAGGCACCAGACAAAGCCGAGCCATCCCCTAGAGAGAGGGGCGCGGAGGGCGGTTGGCAGGCGCAATCTCGCCCTCCGCCACCCTGCGGGGGCGCGCGGCGGCGCCAGAGCAGGAAGATGGAGGGCCACCACCACTCCGCCAGCGGCGAGCAGGAGAGGGCGCAGATGGTCCCCACAAACTGGCCGCTGAAGATGAAGGAGAGGGCGCGCGCCCGGCCTTGCGGAGGGACCCACGCAGCGAGGAGCGCGTTGCAGCACGGGATCTGGACGCCCTCGGCGAGGCCGACGACGACGCGCGCCTAGACTAGATTGACCGTCCTCCAACCGTCAGGCGCCGCGAATGACGTACTGGCGGAGGGCGCAGTGCGCGCCGCGAGGGCAGCGTCGATGGACTGGCGTGCGGCCCACGGCGTGAGAACTGTTGCCGCAGACCAGACTACTGTACCGATCAGCAGCACTCCCTTGGCTCCAAAGCGAGCGGCGGCGAGGCCGGCCGGGATCTGCGTGAGGACATATCCGCAGAAGAATGACGCGAGCAGCGTGCCGGTGCTCGCCTCGCCCCAGCCGAGCTCGCGGCTCATCGCGATGACAGCCACCGAGAGATTTGTCCTGTCTGCGTAGCCGAGCATGTTGTTGAGGAAGAGGAGCTGCAGCAGCGTGAAGGCCTCGCCGGAGCAGTCGGATGTGTACTTGCCGCGCCGCATGGCTGGACTGGACTCGGTCGCGGCGTTTGCTTGCGCGTCTCGACTGGTGGCGGCGAGTAAGATTGGTGGTTGGGTAATGTCGAATTGGGCGGCGGACCGATCGCTCCGGCGAGGCCTTCACGTGCGCTTTCCACTAGGAGTCCAGCGGATTTCAGACTTTGCGTGACGTTGGGTGACTGGTATACTGGCATCGGCTTTGCAAGCCTGGGCTTGCGAAATTGACGACCAATGCGCTTCACCGCCTCATATAGTACCATTTTATTGCTTCAGCACCAACGCCACGCTACGTTCTAGGGACGCAGAGCGCGCACTGAGAGACCACTCATACATATCGCTGTTGCGGGGCGGCAATGTGACTGGACTCGCCGTGCGCGCCCAGCTAACCCTAGCCACCAGCCTTCGCCATACCCAGGTACGGTCGTACCTGTCTCCCCACCTAGTCATCCCAAATCCTCGGGCGACCGCGCGGCTGCGCTACTCACAGGCAGTCTCCCTGCCGTAGCTGTTACAGGCACCACCCACCGACCAATCTCGACGACGAGCCGTGGCAGGGCTCGCTGCGCCAGCTGCACAGCAGTACGCCACAACACAACATATTATATTATCCAACATAACCTCTCCCTGAGTGCCCTACCCTTGCGGGCTCAGTTGCCGCATTAGGAGCCTTCGCACCGCGAGTGGGCTCAGGTGGGATCCACACAGAGAGAGGTTCAGTACAGAGCCGCACTCTACACACCTTATCCCCCTACTCGGGCGGCATCGTGGTGAGACCCTGGGCAGTCAGAGAGGCTGGCAGTAAGTGGCGGGCTATGAAGTCGGGCCTCTCCCGACCCGCCATCGTTGCCTAAGGGAGGATCCTATCGGCCACTAGACCATGACAGATCAGAGGCGCACATGCCCTGTCCCAGCTCCCCCACTCCTCACACTGGGTTTGCAGTGCGCGGCCTCACCACCTCCCTACCAGGGCAAACCCCCTCTCTCCCCCTAGGTGCTGCACTGGACGCCCATAGAAGGCGCGCGGCAGAGGCGGGAGCACGATGACACAACGCTTGAAAAACCATTCTGACGAGCCTCCGAGCATACTTGTGTGGACGTTTCGGGCTCCCATCCCCCGCCCCGGATCCGTGGGCGATCGCACACGCGGCTGGGGGGCACGGCGCGAGGTGCCAGGTGGCGCTTACCACTGAAAAGGAGGTTTTGGAGCCCCTAAAAGCGTCATAATAGCCGCACGTTTGCACTCGCCGTGCCTTGCCATCTCCGAGCCGCGCCCCCTCCTTCAGTTTTAAGGCGAATCGGGTGCCGAACTCGGCGTCGACAGCTTTGGCTCGACATCTTTACCATTTTGGCGAGAAACGCATAAGCCGCCCCAGCGAAATGGCCGATACGGCCGGAATCGGAGGCGGCGCCGGGGCGGCTTATGCGTTTCTCGGGGTCGTGTGGTTTAGCCGGATATCGACCTGGTGTCCCGTGGGGAAGGTATTGAACTGCCTTAAAACGGAAGGGCACGTCCTGTTCACGCGATGGCCAGCCGTGGTGTGAGCCCGAAGGGTCGGCGAGTCGGCAGACAGACAAAATAACCTCCAACTCCCTCAGTTTCTAGGACTCCCCTCTCAATGACCACCTCTATACACATTCGAGGTGGCCTTATCTTATGGAGGGAAGTGCTAGAATCATCATCTAGGAGGGAGGGGCCCCCCCGCCCGACCCGCGGATACTCCCTCTCGCGCCGGTTCGGCACGCGGGAGATTGCCACGTGGACGGAGGGGTTATTTTGCGAGGTGGAGGCCGACCTCTCAAGCAAGCTCGAGAGGCTTCGGATACCGGGGCTATCCGCAATAGATGTATTACGCCCTTTCTCCTCAACGGCTATCCCTGCTTCCCTATTGGGATTTCTTTTGCAGGTGCTGCGCCCTGCGTGGTCCCCGGTTTTGGACCGGGAGGGGAATTTTTTTTTGGGTGATGGAGACGGTTCTGCGCCCGCCCTCAGTGTCGGTTCTGCGCTCGACTTTTTTTTTGAGGAAGGGAATTTACTGCGTTCTTCCCGCTCTTCCGGGGGAGTTGAAATGAGAATTTTGAAGGCCCTTTCGGGAAATGGTGCGCCGCAAAGGCGGGCTTGGGTCTAATAACTAGGTGGGCTGGGGACATGGGGCCCTCAGAAGGGTAGGGGTGGACTGTGCATGAAGGAGGATCAGACATGTACGCGTACACCGGGGGGGGGGGGGGGGGCAAAAGGGGGTGCGGGAGTGCAGACTGTCTCTTGAGAGCAGTCGTCGCCACGCGGGTAGAGCGGGCTGGCCGCAGAGCGGACGCTCGCTCCCCGGGCGCTGCGGGTACGCCCGCTGTGCGAAGAGGGGGCGCTGGCCGCTGGGCGGACGCGCCCTCTCCCCGAGAAGTGGTGCCTCTCTGAGGGCGTTGGTACCAGTCAGACTGGTAATGGTCTACTCCTACCAGGGAGGCATACCTGTTCGAGGTGGAGTCGAGTGCGAGCTGGTTCGTCTCGTCGCCGCCGCGCGGCGATGGGCGTAAAGCGTACCTAGTATTCCCTCGTATATAGGGTGTGGTTTCAGCAGAGGCACAGTATCGCCCATGTGTGGCGGCAGGAGCTGCACGCAGCTCTTTCGAGCGGCCACTTTTGGCAGGTTCGAGGACAGGTCGGCGCTTCGCGCCTTCGCGTAAGCGAACGCGTGCGCGCGTACGCGCGCGTGCGTGCACGTGCAAGTGCAACAAACGAACGAACGAACGAACGACACGCCAAAGCCTTGCCGCGCGCCTTTTGTGCGGCGTCCTCCGATGCAACTTGGTTCCGCGGCGGGGCGACCAGTCCCGGCGTTCGATCCCGTGGTCGAGAAGGCGTGAGAGCTGCACCGTCGCCGAGCCGGAGGCGGGCAAGCCCGAGGGCGCACCTGTGGCTTTGTGTCTCCATGCCAAAAAAAGAATTTTTTGACTCGGCGAGTCGGCACAGGCCAGCAGAGCCCTTGGTCAATTTGGCTCTGACGCCGTGCCAGTAGTCGGCGCGCCGCGATCTGCATACCTGTTCGTACCTCTACAGTAGTGCGGCCACGTGTATTGCTGTTCGGCGAGCCGCGTTCCGCTCTCTCGACCGTGAGGCCAGTTGGCGGGCGCCTAAAGAGCCTGGTTTGTGCGTCGAGCGGTGAGCTCACAACAGACACCGTCCGAGCCCGATGTACGCCAGGCGTCTCATTCCAAGCCCACTACGCATTCCCACGCGCTCAGGCGCCGCTCGAACCCCACCTCTTTGAGCCGGTTACCCCGCGGCAAGGCAACTCGGCGCTCTAGATGTGCGCGCTAGGCAGTCTCAACGCCGATTACTGCCGAGCGCGCACGACTCGTAGGCGTACCGGCGTGCCGCTGGCGTACTACGCGACGGTGGAGGCGCGTGGAATTGCTCAAAAGGCATGCATCTGTCGGAGAGCGTGCCGCAAGACCTGATGTGCCTCCGCTCCAGGTGTGTGGCAGTTCGATGGATCCAGCCCAGCGACCTCTACGTGACGATTGAGGACTGCTCTTCCCCTTCGGCCGAGCCTCCAGTCCCTGCCACCGTGCACTGGCGCCAGCGAGCTCCATTCAGATCCCGCACGCGCGATCGGCAGTCGAGTTACAACCCGCAGCTGTGCTGTGTGCGCGCGCACTCGAAACGTGGTTCGGCGATCTCTCGGCGACCACTCGTCGACTCGCGCCCAGACGCGAGGTGCGTGCTCGCCCGGCCCCCCGTGAGGGGACTAGGCCATTTTTAGCGAGATCGGGGAAATCACTCTCATCGCCCGCCGCTCACGCTTCCCTCCCTCTCCCGCGCCGCCGTCTCCGGTCCTAGCCTGCGATACATTGAGACCTCACGCCCCGCGACTGTCTTCCACGCTCGCAGGCGGGCCTATCCGCCGTGCCACTCCATGCATGATCATCGCTGGGGGCAGCGGTGCTCGTGCGACTGCGGATTCGGCCTCACCTCACGCCCTCTAGCCTGCAGCTGCACGTTGCCGGGCGCCATTCTCGAGCCCTCTGGCGAATGGGCCCAAATCCGGGCTCTGAGCACGCCTACTGCTGACGATCTATGTAGCTAGTGCGGTGGGGTCTGGCGCAGGTGCGCGAGACCGTCGCCACAGGGGGGGGCGCGCGATTATGTGGGCGCTCCCGAGGGGGCGAAACCGCGTGTTCAAGGGAAACGAGGCGAATTGCGCCCCCAAAATGGTCCTGAGCGGCTCCAACGACCTCCCCAACACCCGAGGTGCACGACACGACCGCTTGTTCGAACATTAGCGACACAAGTATTTATTCCTGTGGGTTGTGTCATCGTGCGGGAGGGAGGCGGGGAGAATCTAGCTCGCTCTGGCAGGGAGGCAAGGGTGTGATAGAGTGTTTGGGTGAGAACAGGCGGAGCGTGTGTGCCTGGGCGCGATCGGGAGGGCACTTGTGACGAGGCATGGTTAGGCGAGTGGCAGTCGCTGGTGCGGACTTGCTGAGTCGTGTGTGCTCCTTTTTGCTTGCTAAGACTGGAACAATTTTTTTTCAGGCAGCCTTAAAATGGGCCATGGCCCGCTTTAACCGTTTAAGCCGTTTAAGCCGCAGGCGCCCCAGGGGGCCGGCACCCTTTTAAGCCTAGGCCCCCCCCGTAAGAATCAAATCGCATCAGCAACAGAGATCAAATCGCATCAGCGACGAACAGAGACACAGCGCGGCGCAAGCCGCAAGGCCGCTGGTGCTGGTGTGCCTGGAGGCACCAGGAGCCGGCGCGGCCTCCCGGCCTGCCCATCCCACGAGAGAGAGCCGAGACCCATCACACAACGGATGATGCTGAATAAACCTCTGTCGAATGCTGCATGAGGCGGCAAAGGATGGGGCGGCTCACGCGGGCCTCACGCCACCTCCACCTCCATGTCGGGTGCAAGGGCCTTCGTCCCTGGTCGCGGCGTCGGCGTTGCCGCCTTGAAGACGTCGGCCTTGGCGAGCAGGATGTCGCCATCAAAGTTGGCGCGGTTGGGCAGCACCGCCGCGAGGAGCGCCTCGTCGCGCACGCCGAGCCACTGCGCCTGCGCGTTGAAGACGGCCTCCCACGGCGTCGTCGGGATGAAGCGGCCGCGCATCTGCAGCTTGTCCGACGCGGGGACGAGCAGCGTGCCCGGGTAGCGGCCAAACAGGCGGCCGCCGCGCACGGCGCCGCCGGCGAGTAGCGCGTGGCCGCCCCAGCCGTGGTCGGTGCCAAAGCCGTTGTTGGTGATTGTTCTGCCAAACTCGGACGCCGACATGACCGAGACCGACTCCCACATGCCCTGCAGCTTCATCTGCGCGGCGAAGGTGCCGATCGCCGCGTCGAGCTGGCCCGTCAGCTTCTGCAGCCGCGTCAGCTGGTCGGTATGCGTGTCCCAGCCGCCGAGCGAGACAAAGAAAAGGTCGCGCTCGCCCCGGAGCTGCGCGCGCGCCTTGATCACCTTGGAGACAACCTCGAGCTGCGTGCTCAGTGGGTTGCGCGCGTCGAACTTGGTCGAGGAGTTGGTCTGGCCGGGCAGCGCCGTCGCGTCGAGCACGGCACCAAGGGCCTCCATGTCCTGGTTGGCGTGCTGTATGGCCGCCGCCGCCGTCTCCGCGAAGATCGATCCCGACTCGAACGCCGTCAGGTTGCCCAGCGCCTCCTTCAGCGGCGCGTAGCGCTTCCAGCGCACCGCGCCGCCGCCGGTGAGCACTTTGGGCGGGGCGCCGCCCTGCACCGCCTTCGCGTTGCCCGAGATTGAGTACAGCATCGAGCTGTACGGTGCGCCATCATCGCTCTGCTTGGTGGCGAGCGCGGTCGCGAGGCGTGCGAGGACGCCCTTGGCGGAGGAGATGGCCTGCGCGTGCACGGTCTGCGTGGCTGCCTTCTGGGTCGTGTGAGCGAAGAGCAGCTGTGGCAGCTCTGGCGAGCCGGCGAGCGCCTGTGGCGTAAGCGGCTCGACAAGCGGGCCGACATTTGCAACGTAGCCTAGCTCGCCCGCCTTGTACATGGTCTGGATGTTGTTCATTCCGGGGTGAAGCCCAAACGTGGAGCACGGCGGCTTGGCCTTGGATGCGGTGGCGTCGATCGAATGGAGCGCCGACGCGTTGTACGCTAGGGGTCCCTTGAGCGCAGTGTACTGCGCAAAGAGGTCGGCGCCCACTTCGCAGCCGCTGAGCGGCACGAGGTGCGAGTACGTGTCGGCGCCGCCATCGAGGTACAAATATAGGAGCGCTTTGTAGCCCCGGCCGGGCGGCGGCGGCGGCGGCGGCGCGGGCAACGTGCGCTTCACAGCGCGGCGCGCGTTAAAGGTGGTGGCGTGAAACTCGGGTAAGAGGCCGAAGAGCTCCTCGGCGACGCCGACCGCGGTGCGCAAACGCGGGGCCGAGAGGTTGGCGCCGAGAAAGGCAGCGACGGCGTCGGAAATGTACTCGCGGTTGGCCGGATGGAGACGCCCCCCTGTTAGCAGCACGTCGAGCTGCGCGACCGTCTGCTGCGCTGCCTCTGCTCGCGTGAAGTTGGGCGGCAGCCTCGGCGAGAAGGCGAGCACGCCGTCGGACTGCGCCAGCGCCTCCTTGGAGGGCGGACAGCGCATGCCGAAGCCGCCGCTGCACGAGGCGAGGCCGTTTCTGACGAGCGACGAGACGCCGTTGAGGTGGGAGATGGCGGTGGGCGCCGTGAGGATTTGCGCCTCGGGCGAGTGTAGCTTGGCGCCCGCGACGGCACCGTCAGGCGCATAGTCGGGGAAGTAGAAATTAAAAACGGTCGGCGAGTCGAAGACCTGCTCTCCCAGCTTGTCCTCGAGGCGGGGCAAGTCGAGCTCACCACCGTGGCTCGGCACATACTCCAACGAGCGTAGCAGCCCAATCAGTTTGACGATCGGCTCACGTAGCTTTCCCGCCGCCGGGTCGAGGTCGAGCGTCGGCGAGCGCGCCTCCGGGTCGAGCAGGATGGCGGCGACGGTGGCGGCGAGGTCGCCGTGGTGGCCCGAGTAGGTCCTGCCCGAGTGCGCGCCGGACTTGAAGGCGGCGACGGCCGACGCGACGTAGCGCGGCGACGGGTTGCTCGTGACAAAGCGCTGGATCAGCTGTGAGGCGACGAAGGGCCCCGTGTTGGCGTGATAGAAGAGGTGGTCGAGCAGCGCTTCCGTCTCGTACGCCGCGTCGCGCGCGCTCGGCAGCGCAAACGAGTGGAACGTCGGCGGGTTGCGGAACTCGAACCCACCCGAGTTGTTGAGGCGGACGATCGACTCCTTATTGGTGAGGTAGACCGGTCGCGTGCCGTTGAGAACGATGCGGAACATCGTCGACGCGTCAAAGCTGCGGTCAAGGCCCTCCTCGTCCGCCTCGGCGCCCTCCCCGCCGGAGGAGCTGCGGTGGAGGTAGACGGCGACGCCACGGTTCGCGGCAGCGGCGCATGCCGCACTCGCGCACGCGCGGTACGTCCCAGCGTCGAAGCTGTCGGGGTGCGGCGCGCCGATGGTGAGCTGCTCCTCGATATCGGCCGCGGTCGGCACGGCGGCCGCGTCGGTAAAGACGGCGCGCTCGACGACCCTGGTCGCGCACATGCACGACGAGCCGTGCGCCTTGCAGCCGAGCGAGACGCAGCTGTCGGTGCCGCCAGTCTTGGCAAGCGACGGGAAGCGGCCGCCCGCCCAGCGCACGCGCAGCTCGTTACCGCTGTCGGGCTGGAAGGCGGGGTCGCTGCTGGCGGGGTGGACGATCGTCACAAGGCCCGCGCTATCGACCTGGGCGACGGGCGCGCCACACTCCGCGCTCGTCCACGAGTACATGAACGCCGACGCGAAGCCGGTGGCGCGCGAGCCGTTGCCAAAGGAGCGGCAGACATGGGCGTCCGTCGCCTTGCACCGTGCGGCGGCGGTGGCGAACCTGACGCGCTCGGCGCGGTAGGTCTTCGCCTTGCCATCCTCGGAGTGGTTCTGGTGGACGGTGGGCGACTCGCAGCACGCGACGCCCGCCGCGACGGTCGCGGGGTCGGCGCACGCGACGTAGCGGTAGTGGGGAGGAGGGTGTGTGGGCTCGCCGTGTGCTCCAGGCTGCAGGAACGACGAGTTTTGTACGAGGCGGCCGCCTTCGTAGAAGGCTAGCTCGACGCACGCCGGGCGGATGTACTCATAGTAGACGACCTCAGTGGCGCTGCGCACGCCGACGACAATGAGCGTGTCGACGCGGCACTCGGCGCCGTCGCACGGGAGCGCGCCGCCGTGCGTGCTGCTGCTACTGCCGGGCACCGGCGGTGCCTCGAGCGTGACCTCGCTCAGGAAGGTGCAGCCGCCGCTCGTGTGCGCGCCGTGCGGCGGGTTGGCCGGCCTGCAGAGCTTGCGGTACAGCGCCGACGTGTTGCGCAGCTCCAGCGCGGGCGATACCCTGGCGTACTGCATCTTCGGGGTGGGCTTGCGGCCGAGGTACGAGTAGCGTGCGCCGGCGCGCAGGAAGGAACGGCGCGGAAGCTCGGCGCAGAGCGGATAGCGATCGCCCAGGTGGCCGTCGTTGAGGTCGACCTTCGGGAAGAGGTCGCGGTACGCCTTGTAGCCGGTAGACCCGAAGTTCGTGATGACCATTGGGTCGACGAACGCCCACGCAGAGAGGCCGAGGTTGTCGCGGCTGAGCCCGTGGCCGAAGCCCGTCCAGGCGCGCGAGAAAGCCATCATGTGCTGCGTGTCGTAGGTGGGGATCGGCTTGCCGTGCGCGTCGTTGATGACGGTGCCGTCGTCGCGCAGCTTGACGAGGCCGATTGTGAAGAGCTGCATCAGCTCGCGGCCGTAGTTCTCGTCGGGCGGCGTGCCCTTGGAGGCCTTGGAGCGCGAGCCGAAGAAAGAGAGGTAGTTCGCCATCATCGCCGAGTACGAGACCTCCGTGAGGAGATGGCGCAGGTTGCCGAAGGCGTGGCGCACGAAGAGGTCGTAGTAGGTGAGCCACGACTCACTCGCCTGCGTCTGGTACCCCTGCTCCGAGATGACGTAGATCTGCGAGAGCGCCCAAGCGACGCGCTGACGCAGCTGGTCGTTTGCCTTGAAGGCCACGTTGGGCCACACAGAGAGCAGACCCCTCTCCTGTGAGCGGTAGAGCTCGGGGATGCCGTGGTACTGCGCACCAGTGGTCGTCTCCCAGAAGATCGGGTAGAGGTGGTTGTGCGTCGGGTCGCTAGCCACCTCGCCGGGCGAGCCGCAGATCTCCGGCGCGTCGGTCGAGAGCGTTGCGCTGGCGCCAAAAGCGGCAGCGAGGCTCGGCGACTGCGCTGAGCTCGGCAGCCGATCAAAGGTCACGTTGGCGCCGAGGGCGCCGATGAGGTGTAGCCGACTCTCGCGCGTCGTCCACTGCGCGGGCGATCGCGGCGGGCGGCGTCAGGGACGAGGGCGGCAGCGGGCGTGGCGGCGGGCAGGCGGCGGGCCTGGTCCATCGTGTGGCTCGCCGGGAACCGCAGCGTCGTCTGCGCCGCGACGCCCGACCAGTCCGGCAGCTTGGCGAAAGCCTCGATCGGGTTGGCGCCCGCGCCGAACCTGGGCGAGCCATCGTGCGTGTATCGCCACGCGGTCGCGTCGTAGACGTTGAGCTGCTTGCCGTGCGAGTGCTCCCAGCAGACGCCGTCGACCTCGACACGCGCGCCGATGGCGGTGACGCCGCCGGCCTCGGTTGTGCAGCTGCCGTTGCTGACGGCGCCCGGCGAGTTGACGGTCGTGTTGCGCACGAAGATATTGCGCCGCCACGGAGACGGCGCTGCGCGCACCGCCTCGGCGAGCGTCGCTCGCGTCGCGGCGTCGAGGGGCGTCGCGGGCCCGACGTGGCTCGCCTTCGAGCCGCACGGCGCGTGCAGCGAGACCCACCGGCTCTCGCCGTGGCAGGGCGAGACTCGCGCCTCGCCCTCGAGCCTCAGCCCGTCGAGGGCGTACAGGTAGACCCCACCCACCTCGTAGAACTTGCGCAGTGTCGCGTGGCTCAGCGGAAGCGTTGTCCTCGAGTAGTCCACGGCGGCGCACGCCGGACGCCGCACGCATGTCGGCGCGTTGAGGAAATTCTTTGCGACCCGCGGGCAGCTCTCGCCGGGAAGGCGCTGGTCGAGCGGTGTCGTCAGGTCGGCGGGCGCCTCCAGCGTGTTGCGCGCCATCGCCAGGCGGGGGTCGTGCTTGTACCACACGCCGCCGCGCCGCATGAGCGCACCGAGTTGAGCCACGACGCCCTGCAGCGTGCACGGGGCGTGCAACGCCTCGAGGACGAAGATCTCGCGGTCGGTCGGCGAGTAGCCAATCCCCGAGGTCGGGCTCGCGAGGGAGAAGACCGGCTTCAGCGGTGCGGCGGCCGCCGACACGTCGAGGAAGTTGGCCGGCATCACCTCCGCCGGCTCTCCGCCGCCGACCGAGGAGGCGAAGCTGAGGTTGACGTTCCTCACCGCGATCAGCATTGTCTGGCTGGTGCAATTGAGCGCCACAGAACCGCGAGCGCCGACCCGCTCGACGACGTGGCAGACGGTGCCGCGCCAAGGCGGCGATGATACGCTGTGCAGCCCGAGCTTGCCGAGCACGTCAAAGTCCTTGGCGTGCGGCACCAGCGTGCGCGGCTCGCCGCCAACGGCAATGAGGAGTGCGCCGCCCCGCCTGGCAGTGACGGTGATTGGCGCTCCCACGTCTCGCTGCGAGAGCGCGAAGCGGTGCCACATCGAGCCGGCACGACACGCGGGCGAGAAGCCGCCGAGTGTGGTGTGCATATCGCCACGCGGCGTCGCACGCGCGCGGAAGTAGGCGCGGTGGAGCGTGGCCGGCGCCGCGATCTGCTCGTCGATCCACTCCGAGACGGCTGAGGAGCCGCCAGGGCCCACGAGCTTCGCACTCAGCCGAGCGACGTCAAGCAGGGTCGGCCCGTACGTCGCCTGAGCGAGCAGCTTCGCTGCTTCGTATTTCGGCTCGAGGTGCGACGGGCGCCGCACCGCCGTAAGGTTGTGTTCGACGAGGTGGAAGGACGTCCCATTGATTGCAGGCACCTGCACGACGCATGCCTTGGCTGAGCAGCTGTGGACATGCACGCCTGCAATGAGCGGGTCCAAGGCCGACTCCCACGCCAGCCCATCGTAGCTTCGAGCGGCGGTGGCCCAGTGCGCATTGCTGAGCGGGAGCTTCGACTCAGCCGGCGCACGTGCTATCCTGAGCAGCTGGTTGTGGAGCGAGCGCGGGAGCGTGTGGTTTCCGGCGGAGAGCGGTCCGTCGGTGATGGCGAGCACTGTTGCGAGTGCGAGTGGCAGCATCGTGACTGGGACCGCCACCGCCTCCGCCGCCGCCGGCCACACTGTGTCCGTCCGCAATCTGTGCTTCAGCGAGCCTGGAGTCGCTAGTGTATATCTTGAGTGTCCTCTCTCGGCAGCGATGACAGCAGCAATAAGTACACGTTACCGGTAAGTACACACGTGCGCCCTCGCGCGAGGCTGCTACTCGAGTAGGTAGCTAATACGCCACCTGTGGATGTGCGTGCCTCCCCCACCCCTCCCGCTACCAGTGCGCGAAGAGCTGCTGCTGCTCGCGGCTGAGGGGTGCCGCATCGCCGGCCGCCTCTTGCGGCGGCGGCGGCGGAGAGGCGAGGAGCCGCTCCGCCCTCAGCGCGCAAAAGTCGGCGTGCGGCGGCTGCAGCTCGCGCGCCTCCAGCGCCCGCCAGTCGAGCCCCCAGAAGAAGGGGTGCGTGCGGAGGCTCTGCCCGCCGTCGCGCTTGACGTCGCCCAGCCGCTTGGCCGGCTCGTGCTGCAGCAGCGAGTCGATCAGGTGGACCTGCCACCAGAGCGCGAGGCGTGAGGAGACGCCGCTCGCAGCGCGCGGTGGGCAGCGGACCGGTCCGGCGCGCCGCGTGCGACGAGCATGCGCGGCGGTAGTGCTGCACGTCGGGGACGGTGAATCGGTTCTGCACGACGTTCGAGAAGGTCTGCTGCGCGCGGCCGTCGGGGTCGGCGAACGGCGTCGCGGCCGTGAGGCACTGGCAGAGGAGGACGCCGAGCGACCACAGGTCCGAGGAGGGGCCGTACCCGAGCGAGCGCACGACCTCGGGCGCCATGAACTCGGGCGTGCCGCACAGCGAGAAGAGGGGCCGGTTCTCGGCGGCGCCGGTGGTGGCGAGGCCAAAGTCGGCGATGACCGGCCAACCCTCGCGAGAGAGGAGCACGTTCTCCGGCTTGAGGTCGCGGTACACGATGCCGATCGAGTGGAGCTTCTGCAGCGCGAGCACGAGGCAGCCGACGTAGAAACGCGCCTCGCCGTCGGACATGGCGCCAAAGTTTGCGAGCAAGTCCCACAGCTCGCCGCCCAGCACCGCGGGCATCACGATCCGCAGCGAGTGCTCGTCCTGCCCCGAGCAGACGTAGCGCACCATGAGCGGCGCCGCCGGGTCGCCGCGCAGCCGCGCGCACAGCAGCTGCAGGTGCTCTCTCTCGCGCTCGATGTAGCGGAGGAGGACGCGGCCGCGCTTCCCGTTGGCGAGCCACGCCTTGCTGAAGGACTTGACCGCGTACAGCCTCCCCGAGAAGCGGTGGCGCGCCAGCTGCACCGTGCCGGTCGACCCCTCGCCGAGCGGCCTCTCCGGCACGAGGTCGAGCAGCACCATCCCCTCCTCGCCCTGCCCCACCCCCTCGCGCTGCAGGTACAAGCACAGCTCCGAGAGAGAGAGCAGCCAATCGCGCGCCGCCCGCGCGCCCGCGCCCGGCCCGCCTCCGCCGGCAGCGGCGGCAGCGGACGTCGCCCAGCCGGCGAGGCTGCCCAGCCCGAGCTGCGCCGCGAGCGTCGGATGCCTCGCCTACCAAAAGACTCGACCAAGGCGCCTCAGGGAACCCCTCCCGACGTGCCCACGAGCGGCTGCCGCCTCGCCTCGAGAAGCGTGCGGTAGAGGTCTCCGACCGTGCGCGGCGCGCCCTCGCCGAGCGCCAGCGGCGAGTCGTCGGCTGCGAGGAGGGCAACGGCGGCGGGCAGGTCGAGGCAGTACACGCTCAGCGGCTGCGGCGCCTGCGGCGGCGCGCGCAAGTCGTGCGTGTCGGAGAGGAGGGTCGCGTCCCCGGCGTGCAGCGCGTTGACGGCGAGCATCTCGCGCAGCTGCGACTCGACCCGCCGCAGCAGCGAAGCGGTGTCGGCCAGCGCGGCGGCGCCCCGTGGAGCGACGGTGAAGACGTCGTGCGCGACCTCGCTGCCGTCGGCGCCCGTCTCGGTGCGGATGCGAGCCGAGAGGACGGCCAGCCCCAAGTCCTGCGGCGGCGGAGGAGGAGGTGGCGAGCGGCGTCTGGGACGGGCCTGCGGAGCGAGTAGAGGGGGGGGGGGGGGAGTGTCCTGCAGGATGGAGGAGAGGTCGGCGAGCAAGCGGTGCCGCGACGGCACGCGCACGCCCACCTCGAAGCTGCTGCCGCCGCCGCCGCGCTGCGAGAGTGGCGAGATCGTCACCGAGACGGGCAAAGTCTCGAGCAGCGTGCCGCACGCGACGAGGCAGAGGAGGGGCGTGCTGCGGCCGTCGCGCGTGGCGGAGAGGGCGGAGAGGTCGGCGCCGAGGGGCCGCAGCGCGCCGCTGCGGAGCAGCTTGCGGCCGAGGCCGGGCGCCTGGGCGAGGCAGCCGAGCTCGGCGCGGGACGACCAGCCCGCCGGCAGCAGCTCTGGCAGACGGGAGAGCGCCTCGCCTAGCGACGAGTCCCTCGGCCAGCAGAGCAGCCGCGCGCCAGCGCCGCAGGAGGAGATGCGCACGCCCCGCGGCAGCGCGGAGCCGTGCAGGGCGCCCGCCTCGCCGAGCGTGTCCCGCGCGCGCAGCCTGTGCAGCGGCAGCCGCAGCGGGACCGCAGCCGCCGAAACGTCCGCGCCGCCGTCCACGCCGCCGTCCACGCCGCCGTCCACGCCGCCGTCCACGCCGCCGTCCACGCCGCCGTCCGCGCCGCCGTCCACGCCGCCGTCCGCGCCGCCGTCCACGCCGCCGTCCGCCTCGTGCAAGTCGAGGGTGACGAGGAGCTCGCCCTCGAGGAGGATGCAGAAGGAGGTCTCGTGCAGCACCTCCGCCGCCTCGGCCGGGAAGGACGCGCCGCGGCACCGCGGCGGCAGGGCGACGGTGAGGGGCGGCAGCACCACCTCGACGGCGCGGCGGCAGAGGGCGAGCATCCGTCTCGGCGAGAGGGGCGCCAGGACGGGCAGGTCGGAGAGCAGCTGGAGGTGGCGGCGGGCGAGCGCCTCCCGCCGAGAGACGAGCAGCCGACGCAGCTCGGACGCAGGCAGCGCGAGCAGTCGAGCGCCTGTTCGCGGACGGTGACGTGAAGAGACGCTGTTCACACCCTCCGAGGCGGGCAGCGCGGGAGGCCCGCGTGCCGTTCGCCGCAATAACGGTCCGCCACCGAGGGGGCGGCGAGGCGGCGGCCGTCTGGGAGGGTGCGAGGTCGGGAGGGAGGGCAACCTCCCACAGCACCGACAGGGCAGGGAGCGGCACAGAGAGCGGCTCGCCACCCTCCTCTGCCACGCACCCTCCTCCGCCGCCTCCTCCCTCGCCCCACGCCGCGGTTGAGCGAGTCGCTCGGCGCAGCTGCGTGCTCGACGGAGCCGTCGCCGCGGCCCGCTCGACGGAGGCGGTCGCCTCGTCCTCGAGCAGCAGCAGCCACGCGCTGTCCGAGCGCAGCTCCGCCCCCGCCGGGAGCCTGCACCGCCGCATGCGGGGCAGCGCGGCGGCGGCCAGGTCGCCGGCGAGGCCGGGCGGCAGAGAGCCGAAGGGGAGGGCGCCGCAGCGCAGCGCCGCGCACAGCGCCGCTCGGAGGAGCGGCTCCTCCTCCTCCTCCGGCCCCTCCGGCGGGGCGGCGTCGCGGACGGCGTCGCGCAGCGGCTCGGGCGGCTCGAGGGCGCCGTCGGCGAGGGCGCTGATCGAGTTCGCGGACCCGATGGAGCGGCTCAAGCCGGTCGCCGCCGCGTCGCGGTCGATCAGCCGCTGGATGCCTTGCCTCAGCCAGCCGGACCGGGCCCAGTCGTGCATCCGTTGCTCGATCGCCGCGAGCCGCGACCGGCCGACGACCTTGCGGCCGTGCTCCACGACGAGGAAGGAGTTGGCGGCAGAGCCGGTCGCCTGCGGCGGCGGGGATTCGTGGCGGCGGTGGGGCTGGGCGATGGCGGTGGGCGCGATGGCAGTGGAGGCGATGGCAGCGGCGGCGCCTCGTCGGTGGAGACGGTCGCGCTCAGCACGGAGAGGCCGAGGCCGGACAGCACGGCCGACATCTCGGCGAGGAGGCCGGTGCGATCGGAGACGACCACCCGCACCAGCGTCGCAAGCTGATCCGAGCAGTTGTCGACCGTCACCGAGATTGCATTCTCCAAGCTTCCGCCGCCCTCCACCGTCTCGAGCAGCTGGTCCGTCTCGGCAGTCTCGTCGGCCAGCGTGCCACCCGCCGCGACGACGCTACGCGTCGGCAGCGCCGTCTTCGGAGGTCGGTACGCGGCTGGAGTGCCAGAGGCGACGGCGGAGGTAGCGTTCTCTGCAGGGCTCGCCACTGGCAGCAGCGGCGTGTCGAGCTCGGAACGCCCTGCTCTGCGGCGAGACGCTCGTAGCAGGATCGGCTTGAGGAGTAGCGTCAGAAGCGAGCCGAGGATCAGACCCGAGAAGAAGGAGAAGGTCTCGTGCATTCTGGTGTGTGCCCGGCACTCTGCCGCCGCCTAACTTTCCGTCTTCTTTCTTTTCGCTTGAACAAATCAATCTTGAAGGGATTTGAAAATCTTGGAGGGCGCCCGTACCGCCTTGCTCCGCGGACGGGCCCCTCCAAACTTCGCGTACGGATCATGTAGTCCCCACAATCGCTGTTGTCCTGGGATCGCTTGTCATGTGAGAAAGTGCCCGGGGTTGTGCGTTTACGTGAGAAAGTGAATCCGGCATTTCTCTTTCTTGAAAAATCGCAGATCGCACGCGTGCCAAATCGCAGGCGCAGGCAGATCGCAAATCGTAGCGCAGATCGCAGGCGTGCGCCCCATCGCTGGCACTCCACCTGCCTCTCCAACTTGCAGCGCAATCCGCCAAGAAGCGTCATTATTCACTGGCCGCTCCCGTCTCTAGGCAGGATGCTCGTCGTCAGCCTCATCTCCACCGCGTACAACGTCGGTGCTGGCCTTCGGGCTGCGCCGCACGCTTCGTCTTCTCGCGCCGCCTCCACTGCCGTCTCGATGGGAATGGACATCTCGGAGCTCATCGACGACGCGAAGAAGTCGCGACTCGAGCACCTTGAGGCGCAGGCCATCCAGTCCCTCAAGGTTGCGGTCGATCAGTTCGAAAAGCCCGTCTTCCCGAACGCGATGATCGTGGGCGACTGCGTCATCACGCACCTGCTGCACAAGATTGACGCGCTCAAGACGGGCAAGGTCAAGATCATGGTGGTCGACACGTTCCACCTGCTCGACGACACGATGCCCTTCCTGGGCAAGGTGGAGGACAAGTACGGCTTTGAGGCGGAGGTGTTTGGACCGGCCGGCCTCGAGTCCAAGCGCAACCTCTCTCCCGAGAACTTTGCCGAGTACGACAAGAAGTACGGCGCCAACCTCTGGAAGGAGGACATCGAGCAGTACGACAAGGCGCGCGCTCCTCCCTCCCTCCCTCCTCCTCCCTCCGGCGCCGCCAGCTCGCGCTCTCTGCCGCTGCAGGTGTGCAAGGTGGAGCCCTTCCAGCGCGGCCTCAAGACGCTCGGCGCCAATCTGCATCGTGATCGGCCAAGACAGCGCCCTGCCCGACCTTCCCTCTGGACCTTCCTGCAGGCGCCGACATCATGATCAACGGCCGCCGCCGCGACCACGGCGCCGAGCGCGCCTACATCGACATCGCCGAGACGGCACAGCCCGCGCCCCGCTCCGCCTCCCGCGCCGCGAGCGCAGCAGCCGCCCCTCGCCAGCAGCCCCTTCTGCGCCGCCGCCGCCCCTCCCCGCCCGCCGCCGCTCTCCCGCCAGCGAAGCGCCTCCTCCTCACGCGCGCGTGAGCCTCGGGGCAGGTGCCCGTCAACGGCGGCCTCGCCAAGCTCAACCCGCTCGCGTACTGGACGCTCGAGGACTGCTTCGACTACGCGGCCGCGAACGGCACGCTCCCGCCCCCCCCTCGGCCGGGCACCCCCTCGGCCGGGCACCTCCTCGGCCCCTCGCGCCCCACTCCTCCCCGAGAGGGGCGTGCAAGCGGCTCGCTCGACCCCGCTCGCCCTCCCGCCCCACACCCTGTCCCCTGCCCCTCACCCTCGCCCCTCACCCTCGCCCTCGCCCCTCCGCCCTCACCCTCGCCCCTCTGCCCCTCCGCAGGAGTGCCGCTCCACCCGTCGGTCGAGCGCGGCTACCCCTCGCAGGGCGACGCAAAGGACACCGTCCCCGTCCCAGACCCAGACGGCCTCTCTGGCGTCCAGGGCGAGGCTGGGTCCGTCAAGTGGGTCGACGGCGTCTGGACGGGCGACAAGGCCATCTGGCTCGACTACGGCTGCGAGCGGCGCGGACGATTCGTCAACCTGCTCAACAAGGCGCGCCGCCTCGCGCCGCCTCGCGCCGCCTCGCGCCGCCTCGCACCGCCTCGCACCGCCTCGCACCGCCTCCCTCCCCCCCGCCGCCCCTCCTCGCCGGCCTCCCCGCCCCGCCTCCCTCACCGCATTCCCGCCCCCGCCCCTCCCAAGGACGGCTCCAAGAAGACGGAGTGCGGCATCCACGTCGCGGGCGCTGAGAAGACGTTTGACCGCGACCTGTGGGACACGTCCAAGGCGGTGCAGACCCTCGCCGCGCCCTCCGACGTCGAGTCGCTGACCGCGTCGGGCAAGGAGGCTGTGGTGGTCGTGTACGCCCCGTGGTGCCAGTTCTGCCAGGCGACGAGGGGGCGCGTGACGCAAGGCTCCCGCCTGCGGCGATTGTCACGCATGCTGTGGGTGCGGAACAGGCGATGGAGGAGGAGTACGACAAGCTCGCCGACGCGTCGGGCCTGCCGGTGTACAAGTTCCGCGGCGACGAGGAGCGCGAGTTCGTCAAGGCCAACCTAAACACGCAGTCCTTCCCGACCATCAACTACATCGACGCGTCCGGCAAGGCCATCAAGTACGAGTCCGAGGACCGCTCCGTCGGCGCGATGGCCGAGTTCGCGAAGAGCGGCGGCAAGGTCGCCGCCTGAGCAGCAGCTGCTCGCCGCGCCCCGCCCTGCCCCGCGCGCGCGGGACAGAGCCCGAGACCCCGGTCCTCGCTGGCGCGCGCGGTGTCGGGCGCAAGAAGAAAGCGCGCTCGCGCGGACGGCGGACCACAATTATAGGCTCGGCCCGCAAACGCCTAATGGTCTCGTTGATGTTTGTACCTCGGTGTTGAACGACCTCTCCATACCCCTGTGTCGGTCTGTGTGATGATTCTGAGTAAGGTGTAAGCGAGTCTCTCAACAAATATTAGCCGGAGTGTGGAGATCTCTCTCTCACATCTCTGTACGGCCGTAAACCACGATGTCGCGCGGCGGAGTTTTTGGAGAGAGATTTGTTGTTTTGGTGGCAGACTCACTCCGCATAATCCATAAAAATCAAGAAACAAAAAATTGAAGCAGCGTGTGGTGATGGCTCAGATCGTTCGACGCACAACAGCCTGGTTGAGTCCTCACTGACACAGTGCCGGTTGATTCTCAGTACGATGGCCGGAGCGTAGTGGCCGATGGCAACTCCCGACTCGCTCCCTCCCCACCACAGCCCATAATCCGTGTCAATACAGGCGGCTTTGCCACTCCTCTCACTCCCCCCTACCCACCCTGGCAAGCCCCAGCGGGACGGAGAGTCCCCCCCCCCCCCAAACCGGTCACCGCAGCTTGTTCCCGCCGGTGAGCTTCGCCCAATAGTCATCCTTCTCCTCGGCGCTGCTCGGCGCGCCCGCAGACGCGTTCAACACCTTCATCCCCGCCATGCCGCTGCCCGCTGCGCCGCCCGCCCCGCCCCCAAGAGTTTGCCCGCCGCTCGGCGCCGCCCCAGAGAGCACCTCCCCCGACGGCCCGATCCGCACGCCCAGCCTCGTCGCCGCCGCCTCGCCGCTCCCGCCTCCGACCGCCTGCCCGCCCTGAGCCGCGGGTGACGCCTTTGCCTTGGGCGGCTTGATCGCCTTGCCGTCGAGCCGGAAGCCGGACCCGGTGAAGGAGGGGGCAGCCTCCTCCTCCTGACGACGCAGGGGGGGGGGGGGGTCCGCCCTACCCCGCGCACGCCGAGCGCCTAGGAGAGGCGAGGGGTTGGCTGCAGCGGGGACGGCCCTCGTGCATCCCGGAGGGGCGGAGGGGCGGAGGGGCGGAGGGGCGGAGGGGCGGAGGGGCGGAGGGGCGGAGGGGCGGAGGGGCGGCGGCGGGGTGCGAGAGGGAGGCTGGCGGCGGGGGAGGGGGCGTTGTCACTGCGCGCCTCGGACGAGTCGCCGTCGAGGACCGGTGCTCCCATCGGCTGCAGCACCGGCGACTTTGAGAGCGGAGAGGCGGAGGGCGGCGTCGGCGTCTTCGCGGGCCTGGGAGGCTCGACGTAGTCTGCGGGGGCCTCGAAGTCAAGCTGCATGTCCGTCTCGATGATGCACACCGCCTGCGAGGCCAGGCGGCGCACGTGGCTTGGCCCGCGCGACCCCTCTGGGGGGGGGAGGCGGGCCGTAGCCCGCCCCTCGCTGGCGAGCCTCGGCGGCGGTGCGTGCCGCCGGCTTGCGCGGTGCCCTGGGCGGGCGGATCGGGTGGGTGGTTGGGCTCCTGGGAGGCGGCTCGGGGGCCGGAGGGGAGGGCGCCTGCGGCTGGCCGGGCGCAAAGTCTCCCCCGTGTCGCTTCACCTCGACGACGCCAATGTCGTACTTCTTTTTGTTGTACAGGATGCGGAAGGTCTGCCCCTTTGTGAGCGCTGAGAAGTTGCGGAGCGACTGCTCGAGCACAACCTTTGGGTTGGAGATCTTGATGAAGTCGGTGAGCTGTGGCTGCAGCTTGACGTACGACCCCTTGTTGAGGTTGACCGACCGCAGCTGGATGATGTCGCCCTCGCTCACGCGCAGGTTCTCCATCATCCAGTACGGCAGGTACGCCATCCCCTCCTGTGCGATGAACTCGAGCACGCCGCAGTGCAGCTTGCGCTCCATGGCGCGCGGGTTGGCGATCTGGAACATCATTGGGTACTGGATCTCCAGCTGCGCCAGCTTCTCGAGGCACGACGGTGGCAGGATGATCTTGTCCGAGTACTCGAGCCGGCTCGCGTCGCGCTGCTGCTCCGCTGCGAGCAGCGAGACGCTGTGGCAGCGGAACGAGTCCTGGAAACCTCGGCTACCGAAGCCGCCCGGAAGGCCAAACATCGACAAGAGCGGGGAGAAAGGGCAGAGGCGCGCGACGAGCAGGGCGCGCAGGGCGGCGTTAGCGAAAAGAATTTAGGGCGCCACGACACAGGAGCTCCCGTGGTAGTGGTAGTGAGAGACTGCTGGTGAGAAGCCGGAGGAAGGTCGCTAGTCGAGAGAGATCGCCAGTGGAATAGGGAGTCCACCGTGCTGCGAGCCTGTCGCTGTGTGGCGTGAATGCTTTAGCATTCTCGCCCGCTCTGCTGAGGGGAGGGGCAGGACGAGCGGTCGCCTGAGGCGCCTATCTCTATCTACCCTCTCTTGTGGTTTGCCAGCGGGGCACGTGGCCAAGGACGACGTTTCAGATCGCGCGTCCGCTTGTTTGCGCACCCGCGTGCTCGTCCACGCCACTGTCCTCCCGCCCCCTTTGATCTCTGTCGCCTGTCGCTGATGTCTGCCATTGAGACGCTTGTGGAAGTGGCGCTTGCCAAGGCCACCAAGGACAGTGCCGTGCATGGCGTGGACAAGGATCAATACCTGTTGTGTTCCTCTGTCGTCAAAGCCGATGTGCGCAATTACCATACCGTCGAGGTGCTGCAGAAGGGACTCGACGAGAGCCAGGCCAAGGCGGCCGCTCTCGCCCTGCTATCGCAGCAATACCCTCAGCTGGCCGCAGGCGGAGGCACCGCCTCGGATGGCCCCGCCGATGCGGCAGAAAAGGTTGTCAAGACACTTGAGCGTTTGTCGTCATCACAGTTGGGTCACCTGGCCGCGGGCTGGGCCACGCAGCTCGGAGAGGCATTCACCAACGCGAGCATTCTTTCGACAGTGGAGGCCGGCTCGCTCGCGGGCCGCACCGGCAGCGGCAAGGTGCCGCTCGAGAGCGGTGAGGAGGCGCAGATGTCTTACACCGTCATCCAAGGACCATCCGAGGGCATGTACGTGCTCGAGGAGAGCGGAGCACAGGGCGAGCCACGACGCTCGGTCATCCTCAACACCACGCTGGTGACCCTCATGCTACAGCCGACGCAGGCACACGTCGTCTCGAACGCGACGCTTGTCAAGATCAACGGCTCGAGCAGTGCTCTGGCTGTTTTCCGCAAGTTGCCCAAGTCAGGCAGCGCCGCCGAAGACCACGTCTCGCTAGAGGAGATTCTCCAGTTAGCAGACGGTCTTCCGGCCGCGGGCGCGGTCTCGCTCTCGGGAGAGGAGCGCGTCAAGACGTTCGCCCGGGCTCTCGAGGCCAAAGTCTCCGGCGGGGAAGGCTCTAGCTGGTTGGCGGCAGTTGGGGACAAGGCGACCTACTCCGTCTTCGAGCTTCGGAGTCAGCTCGAGAGGCTTGGCCCCGACTTCACGCCGGTCGCCGCGCTGCCCGCACCCAAGTCGTGCGCGGAGTTCTTCACGCGCAACATCCGCGGGGAGAACTGGGGCGCCTTCGCCAAAAGGGTCGCCCCTCTGATTGAACCCGATGAGCAGCGGTGCAATTTCATCCGCTCCAGCGAGACGGTCCTTCGCGACGCGATCGAGCGATGGCTGGAAAGTGGGCTCGGCAGCCTCCGAGAGGCTTCCGTTGCGTCGCTCGCCCTTCGCACCGACTGGTCGGTGGACGCAGCGTGCTCGCTGATGTACCAATTTGCGATGGCCAAGGACCAGCAGCGGCTCGCCCCGCCCACTCCGCCACCGGGCGTGCCGCCTCCGATCCTTACGCAGCCGATCATCAAGATCACGACGGGCGGATCGGGTGAGGGCGGCGACGAGGCCCTCTCCGCGGCCGCTGCCGCGCAGAGCTTGACGACCGCGGAGCGCGAGTGCGTCAAGAGGCTCGCCGCATTCGCCGCCATCGAGGACAACAAAGGGGTCGATGAGATCGCCAAGTACATCGACGGCGCGTCGTCAGCAGGCGCGCCCTCCCCGCACATCATGCGCCTAGTGCACGCGACAGACGCTAGCGTAAACAGCCTTGCGTCGTCGTACGTTGCGGACGACGGTTTTGTTGTCGACCTTCGGTCAATTCGCCGGGCCATGCTTCGCCGTCTGGAGTCAATGCACTTTGGCTTCGCGACTGACAAGCAATGGTCAGAGGAGCAGCGCCGCCAAGCAGGACGCATTCGCGTCGGGCGCTTCAGCGAAGTGGACATCGCCTGCCTTTTGGAGGGTCAGCAAGACGGCTTCTCCAAGAAGGCGCCGCTGGCGCACATCAGGTGCCCTGTCAAGCTGCAGATGGCGCTCGGAGTCTTCTTCAGCATCTGGGCAAAGGCACACCTCACCTTCTCCAGCCATATCCTCGCCTTTGGCGCGAATGTGGCCCGCTTTCTCCACCAGACGCGAGAGGACGGAGCCTCGTGGGAGCAGCTCTCGGACTACTGGCGGAAGCTGATGCAGAAGTGCGAGCAGCCCGCGCTCCGCTTCGAGCGCAAGGAGGCACTCGCCCCACTCCAGCCGCCGCTACTCAAGTGGGCGGACGACCGCTCCGTCACACACGTTGCGGAGCTCATGGACGCCGTCAACCGGAGCGAGCGAGAGCGGCTCGCCAAGCTGCTCGAGGAGGCGCGCGCGCCGAAGGAGAGCGCAGAGCTTGCCGAGCTCCGCAAGATGGTCAAGCAGCAAGAGAGCAAGCAGCAGCAGCACGAGGAGCGCCTCGTCGCCGTCAAGAAGCGCTTGGCCGGCGGCGACGGCGGCGGTGGTGGCGGCAAGCACAGCAAGCGCGGCGGCGGCGGTGGCGGCCGCGGCGGCGGCCGCGGCGGCGGAGGCGGCGGCCGTGGCGGCGGAGGCGGCAACCCGCAGAAGCCCGGGGAGACCCAACAGGAGCTCAACGCCCGCCTCGGCCGCAAAGACGGCAAGGACCCGTGCTGGTTCCACCACATCAAGGGCTCCTGCCGTTATGACGCCGCCGAGTGCCGCGGCCATCACGGCTGATGGCCAGCGGCAGCCTCCGACCCGCCCGGCGGCCCATCGACGCCGAGTGTGGTGCCCGAGGCAACCGTGCCAGTGTCGTGCGTGACTGATGTGAGTGATTCGGCTGTGTGTGCGCATGGGTGTGATACGCAGCATGACAGCGGAGGGGAGGGCGGCGGGAGCGATGTGGAGGTGGGTTCTAGTGCGCCCCCGCCGCAATCGCCGCATCCCCGAGACGGACGGAAGTCCGTCGATCGAGATTTGGCAGCAGCTGCTCTGGGCAGCTGCGACACTAGCCCGAGCGCGCCGCGCGGGCTCCTCCTGCACCTGTTCGCGGGCGGGCCGCGGGATGGGAGCTTCGCGCACTTTGCCACCGCGCTCGGCTTTGATGTGATTGAGAGAGACATCATCCTCGACCCCGGCCATAACCTGGTCGACGATGGCGTCTTCGCCGAGGTGATGGAGCTCATTCAGAGCGGCGCGGTCAAGGCGGTGCTTTTGGGCACGCCGTGCGGCACCTTCTCCGTCCTGCGCATCCCGCAGCAGGATGGTCGAGAGGGCCCGCCGCAGCTGCGCGACCGGCTACACCCCATGGGCATGCCCGGCGTGCCGCGCCAAAACCTCAACGAGCTGGCGACCGCAAACGTTCTCGTGCGTAGAACCGTGATCATCGCTCAGGCCATCGCCGACGCGGGCGGCGTCTTCATCATCGAGAACCCGCCCGACAGAGGCGATGGCCCGCTCTACCAGGCCAAGTTTGCATCGCACGCGCCTCTGTGGCTGGTGCCAGAGGTCATCGAGCTCGCCGACCGCACTGGAGCGATCAAGATCACCTTCCCCCAGTGCGCCCTCGGCTCGGACTTTCAGAAGTGGACGACGCTGCTGGTCTCGCCGCAGCTAGTCCCGCAGCTCGTGGACCTCTCGAGGCTCGCGTGCCAGCACCCCGACGGCCACCGTGACGTCGCTGTCGGCGCACGTGCAGCGCGGGCTGCTGCGTACCCTCCGTTGATGAACCGCAGACTGGCCGAGGCGATCTCGGACTGCCTCACGTCGCTCGGCGGCGGTGCTCCGAAGGAGAGCAGCCATCTCGCCGGCGACGCTGCGGGCGAGGCTAGCGAGCCGGCGGGCGAGGATCTCGACGCCCCCGCCGCCGGCCGCGGCTCGCCAGGCATCGTCGCAGATGCTGTCGATTGCCGTCGTAACGATCTGCGTGGCAGCAAAAGGTCGCGCGACGGGATGCGCGACGCGCAGCTGTCTCAGCGCGCGCGACAGCGACTGAAGCGGCGGCAGGCCGCATCCAGTGGTGAGGCAGGCGACGGGCGAGGTCCTGGGTGCAGAACCCGCCCCGACCCTGCCGATCCACCGGAGCGCGACACTGCTGCCGACACCGAGCTACTGCCAGAGGCCGCGCAGGCGCCCGCCATGGCGGTCGGGTCTGCCATGCCCCATGCGGGGCCGCTCGGCGAGGTGGCGGTCGGCCGGCGGTCGGACGAGGGGTCGGTCGACATCACACGCCTCGGCGTGCTCGGCAATCCCTTTCCGATCCGCCCTCTCGTCGCGAGGGGCATGGATGACGAGGTGGCGCGCCGCGCAGTGTGCGACGCGCACAGGCTCTACCTGCGGCGCGTCATGAACAGGCAGGAGGCCGATCTCGCAGAGATAGCAGGCACAGTCGGCGCGCCAGCCGACGGTCAGCCTCTCGTCTATCAACAGCCTCCCGCACCGGAGGCAGTGCGAGGCGAAATCGACCGTCTTGCATTCGTCGTTGCCCGAGGTGGTCGCCTCCTCCTCGGCTGCGTGTGCGCACCCGAGCAGTGCCACGGCGACGCCGTGAAGGAGGCTATCCTCACGGCGGCGATGGAGAAGCGGGTCTGCGCCGAGCCGCGCGGCCCCCCCGCCTCCGGCTCGCTGCGGAGGCTGGTTCCCGAGCAGGAGGACGTTCTCCGAGGTAAGCTGCTGCCCGTCGCCAACGAGCCGCCGTCGACCGACCCCGTCGAGCCGCCCGCCGAAGATCGGACTCCGCCGGCCCCGCTGCGCACCGCGGAGCTCATCCCCGGGCCAGTCATACGGCGGCTGCGGCGGTTCCGCCGGGACGTACGCACGTGCCTGCGGCTGGCGGCCAAAGGCAAGTGGAAGCGAGCGAGGGGCGCTCGACCCGAGGCCGTCTACCTCAG